AAAATTACCTTTGTACTCAAGATTACTACAAATTTCACCTCTCAAATGTCACTCAAACAGGTAAGATCTTTAAAAACAAAAGAAAAATTATTTTTCATAATAATTACTCTGGAATAAACAGCTGAACTGTGCTTTTTTACATCTTATCCTGGAACAAATAAAGTAAGTTTAATAGCACAAGAGGCTTCTTACCAATATTATCATTTGGATCAGAATCCCCCCACAGGAAAAAAAAAAAAAGATGTTTCAGAAGACAATTGAAGAATAAAGTTCCTTCCATCTTTTATCCATAAGAACTGGCTACTCCACAATAGGCCTTGAATAGGGTTTACCTTAATGCTAATTTTTAAAAAAATTTTTAAACCTTTCATCTTGAACTTGCTATTAGGTTAATATTTCTTTCCTCCAAGCCATTTCCACAAAATGACTCCATGTGAATACTCTCCTAGAAGCTGACCTCTAAATGAGCATTGTTAGCTGGGGACAATTGTGTCAGTCTGTAAACCCAGAAGCCAGCATGGTCAATTTATCAACTTAGACAGACCTGGTCTCAAAAATTTAAAAAAAGGGTTGGGGATGTAGATCAGTGAGATGGTCCTGTGTTCAATCCTGAGTACCATAAAAGGATGGATGGATGAATGGATATTATATTCTAAGACCATGTCCTCACCTAGAAGAGGGATGTAGCTCAGCGGTAGAGTGCTTACCTAGCATAAGTAGTCCTGGGTTCTATCCCCACAACCACCAAAACAAAACAAAATTGTAAACTAATTAAAAAAAAAACACAAAAAACCAGGGCTTGGCATAGGCCAGGCAAGCACTCTACTACTCATTGAGCTACATCCTAGCACAAACCAAGTAATTCTTACATTTTAAGTTTCCTCTCTTTGTCTGCCTTCTTCATATTTGATTCTAGAGGGTGACCTTTTCTTTTTGCTTTCTTTAATAACACGAAAGGCTGACATTTCTTCCTTTCACTGGGCTATTCAAACAAAAGCTTTTCTGATTGTACAGAGGGAAAATGCATTCCCTACAAGAATATAATAAACCAGGCCAAGCAATGAAACAGAATATGAAAATAGTATGATAAACTATACTATGTGGGTGGGTAGGGGTGGGAGTCAGAAAACAGGAAAATGAGAAAAATAAAGAAATATTTTATTCTTAGGAAATAAACTAATATAGCAAGTATTTTCCTGACCACCAGGCTGGGGAAGAAAGAGTCCTACAATGATAATGAATACAGTTCTTCTTAGCTGAGTCCCCATGATCATGAGTGTAATCCCAGCTTCTCCAGAGCCTTTTCTCTTTCTAGGCTGGAGGGCAGTAGATACATGGAAGGCAATGGGTAGAAACCTCAGGACCCTCAGGAGTCTCAGTGGTTGCTACATCCACTAGCAACATAACCTACTCTAGTCACTACTTACATTCCTTAATATCTGAAGCCAACATTAAATTCCTGCAGGTAGGGCCAATATCTCCTGTGGCCTCTTCCAGTCACACTGTCAAGTCTGCTCTGGAGCAGACAATCCTCCCCAACAACCTTGTGCATATCAGAAGGAGCAAATAGCTTTTAACCATTTTCTGTTTCTCTGGAGGTAGAGTGGAATCTGAAAAAGGGTAGGGGCCCCTCCATACTCCTTCTCTTTCAGGAAAGCCTCAGGAGATTGAAGGCAGTCAGCCTTCTAGCCAAACTAGCCACCAACCAAATGTCTTTTCACTTATCCAGATTCCTTCTCTTCTTCTCATGTATTGGATGTGATGATCTTCCCCTCTCCTTTACATGGCTTTCCATGAATGTCCATAAACCTTATCTGTCAAAGTATAGATTATTGGGCCGGGGATTTAGCTCAGTGGTTTCGCCACCTGCTGCACAAGCGCGAGGACCCAAGTTCAATCCCCGGTACCAAAAAAAAGAAATGGAAAGTATAGATTATTCATTCTTTAAGCATAGATTCTATATTTTTATGCTCAACTCCCAGACCCTTTGTTCAGTGATTTGCACATGAGAGTCAATCAATGCCTGGTGAAAGAATGAATATAACTAATCAAAGCTCATACTTCTGTTATCCCAAGATTGAAGAGTAAGTTCTTCAGTGATTAACTTTATTATCTACTCTTCCTCTTTATATCATATTTCTACCTCAAATAGTTATCAAGATTCCAATCACTTCCTTTGAAGAAAATTAAATAATGAAGATTTTTTTCAATCAATTTACTCTATACATAACTCATTTCCCCATGAAGTTAAACCTTTAGGTTAAGAAGAAACTCTTCATTCCCTTTCATATAGGAATGGAAATAAGGAGAAAAAAGAGGTGTGAGGGTGGGGAGGGGACATGGGAAATACTCCCTGAGTGAGCAATACCTTCAAAGAGTCAGTCAAGTTTGTTTAACCATTCTTGGTTCTTGAAGAGGAAAAAACCAACAAACCTGATTTAAATGAATTAAAGTTCTGGCAATAAAGCAATCAAGTATAATTTCTAAGTGGATATACCTAACTAATTCTTCCTAAGGGAGAAAAACCATTAAAACTAGAGTTGCCCTTTCCTCACGTGTCCCACTTCATAAAAATATTTTTATGTACAGTCCTATGCACTGGTCTCTTCAAGACAAAATCAGTCAAAACAATAAGCCAGAATAAGCTACAGAATGCCACTACAGATTTAACAAATAAATTTTGTAGGATAACTTTATAAAGAGCCTGGTACATATTCCATCAATGATGCTGCCCTCTGGTAATGAGTTCATTGATAGCTGTCAGCTGATATGTGATGTCAACACTGTTGTCCCTTCTTATACAACACTCGGTGAAGAATATAACCTCCCCACACTCTGTCATCTGCTAAATGTTGATAATAAAGGAGTGTTCATGTGGATTCATCAGTTAATGTTTTCAAGCATTAGGGACATGAGCACAATTCAGCTTTTAGTGAGTCATAATGACTGAATTCATGCCATTCTAGACTCTTCATCAATGTAGAATGAAGTATAACCAGGTCAGTCAATATAATTTGTGAAGGTTCCATGAAGATGAAGTAAAGCTTAAGACCAAGCAATACTATGGTAACTTACATGAGAAGCACAGCCTACTTTGATAGAATTTCCAGTAGTGAAACTCAACAATGTGTTGGAAAAGATCTCTTTTTACTGGAAAAGTTCAGTAAAATCCTAGGGGAAAAAAATCAAGTATGCCAAACCATTTAAAAGTGTTTCATAATTCAGCTTTTATAAAGCATGTTAACTGTACTTTATAGGATTTGTTAAGTAGGATCCGTTATACAGCAAGATACAGAACAAATCTCTGAATGAGAAAAAGGGTTGCCACGTTATTAGCTTCAATTCGATACAAACTATCTTGGATTGTTCATAAAAATGGAGGGAAAATTCGAACACCAGCCTAGTTTCCTAAAGGTGTGACAGTCCAAAACTCTGCTTGTATAAAATCTTTCCTCATTCCAAATCTGCCAATTGGAATGCGCTACTCCAAATCTTCGTATACTTCATGGTAAAGATCAGCACAATTAAAACCAGGGTATCACCATCTGAGACTTCAATTTAGATTCAGTGGGAAGCAAAGAGATAAAAGTGTAAATTAGAGGGCCGGGAATTTAGCTCAGTGGTTCTGCCGCCTGCCTTGCAAGCTCAAGGTCCCGAGTTCGATCCCTGGTACCAAAAAAAGAAAAAAAAAGTGTAAATTAGACATCTGGATTGAAAGGAGAAGCGGAGGGCGGGGTGGGGGGGACTAGGGCCTCTCACAAAGAATTGGTCCTGTTTATTTCTTTTTTTTCTTGGTACCAGGGATCGAACTCAGGTCGTTCCGCTTGTGAGGCAGGCAGCGGAACCATTGAGCTAAATCCCTGGCCCGGTCCTGTTTATTTCTAATTGTCATAAATATAAAGTAACTGGAACTAGGTCTGCATTCTTCTAGCCCAGACTCTCTCAGATTTCTTCTATCTTTTTTCCTTTTTGGTCCAAAGAAAAATATCTAATTGACAGTTGTAGAGCTCATTCATTTTCCCTACCCACTACTCTTCCCTTCACTCCAAGATATTTGAACACCCTTTTAAGGAAAAAGAACAGGCTATTGAATAAGGGGAAATTTACTTATATCTCAGGATATACCGAGAATCTCTGGACTAATCTCACTCACCACCCATTGCAATATCTATAAAAATAAGTCGTTTAAAGTCATTCTCTACATTCATCCTGATTCCTTGAAAACTACATGGAAGGTGAGATGGAATAAACAAAATTTACAACACTTCATGAAATAGTTATATAGTTTAATGTTCTATATTTGAGGTGATCAGGTTATATCTCTTCACTCCAGTGAATACAACCATATTTGGCTTACCTTTATTAACAGTCAGAACCTTTAGGCCTATGAATATATGGGATGGTGGCCCAGCAGCAGCACCAATACCAAGCAGTTGCCACCAGGAAAAGGATACTATTGACCACTAAAAAAGGTATGAATGAAACCTGGGTGTAGAGGCACACACCTATAATCCCAGCACTCTGGGAGGCTAAAGCAGGAGGACTGCAAATTTGAGCCCATTCTGGCCAATTTAGAGACTTAGTAAGACCCTATCTCAAAATAAAAATAAAAAATGGCCTGGGGTTGGAAATTAGGGAGAAAGCCTTGGCTTCAATCCCCACCACCAAAGTGGGCTAGGGGGAATATGCATGAGGGGGGAAAAAGCCATAAAGACAATCATATTCCTTAATGAAGGAGATTCATTTAGGGTTTCATGGTACAGTATTGTTTTCCTACTTTGATAGACATGCTTTGAACGGAGACGTATATAACTACACCATACTACTTATACATACACTCATTCCAAGAAACCTATTTGTCTTTCCAGACATGTAGCTGAGTAGGGCCAGCATAAATAATAGGCACCACACTAGTTGCATTTAAGAGCCAAATTTAGTCCTCCCCAATAAACCTTTTCCTTGAGTCATCAAAGGCTTTATAAAACCATATACCTACGTACATTGAAATCACTAAAGATTTCTGATTCTTCACATTCACAGCAAAGTATCACTGCTGATTCACTGTCTTCCAAATGAGAGCTCTGTAATACAAACAAGATCATTTCAGAGATCAAAACAAATGTGCCCATAATTATGAAGGGGAAAGCCAGCCGAAATCACTGAATGAGTGTTAGCTCCTAGGCAAGAAGCAACAATTCTGATTAGTAATGACTATTTTGGAAAGAATACAGCCAACAAAGTGACTAGGTGATTAGAAAGTTGACTAAGGAACATAAGATTAGCTGAAGCGTTTTCTGTAGTTTTCAAGCAATGGGCCATCTTTTTATTTTATTTTTTTTCCTGTATGGATAGTTCTACTAACCCTTCACAATGTGAACTCTTCCTAGACTAGACATAGGCTTATATTCATTTATCCTCCCATCCAAAGATATACAGAGTCTGTTAAAACAAGTATACAAACTTTAGCAGTTTGTCATACTAATAAATGTCTGGAAGCTAATGGCCACCACTTTGAGCACTCTCATATTTGTAGAGGCCAAACTTGTATTAATCTCATGATGTATTTAAATATTTATACAAGTTTTTCTTTTTCTGATGCATTCATATATTTTAGCAGACTCTACATATTTGATGTGATTGGAGATAGACTTTAGAATATAACATAGGGGATTAAATGACTTGACTAATCTCTTTAGAACACTGCTTACGAGTATTTATAAGAACAGCCAAAAGACATGGCCTACCCAAGTTCCCTGCCAGATGCCAGAAAACAATTTAAACCTTTTCTTCCATTCTCAAATCTCTGTTTCAAAATCTGTCTAGAAGATAAGATAAGAAGAATGACACAAAAGAGTGAAACAATTAGCTGGTGACACAAAAGAGTGAAACAATTAGCTGGTAACACAAGAGTGTTTTTTCCTATAACTAACAACCCAAAAAGAGGACAGAAAAAGATACAACCCTAACCCATTAGAGTCCATTCAAATGTTTGCTGTTTGAGGAACATTGCTGGAAACTGAGTTACTCTCAGATGGACCACTAATGTATTTGCATACGTCACCAAAACTTCTTACTACCAGTGGCAGACACTTAGTCATATATACTCTATGGCTACACAAGTTGTTAACTACTTTATTTTTCAAAGCAAGGCTGTGTTTAACCTGCAGAATACTTGAGATGAAGAGTTTTAGAGTGCAAATAAACTTGAATGAAAGAAAGTAAAGCTTACAGTTACTATTTCTTTTAACTTGTTCCTGGTTTGCTTCCTTCTGTCTACTTTGATCCTTTGTCTAGTTTTTATTTTCCTGTCGAGAACCAAGTCTCATTGGCCATTATACTTTTCTCTTCCTCTTTTAGAAAGCAAAGAGAAATATCCAAAATATTTAAAATCATTTTTAACAGCCTGCATATACAAGAGCCTTTATTCCTTACTCGCTTGCATTTGGGAGGGGTAAAAAAATAATAACATTTACTTTCCACTTGGCTTAAAAAAAAATCAGTCTACAAAATACCCAACAACTTCTAGAAGTTACAGTAAGAAAGCTAAAGGTTTAACAAAATATTTGAAGGAATAAGATAAGAGATCAGAATTACTTTCAATTCTCCAAAGCTCTCATACTACAACAGATAACAGATAATATTAAGTATATCAAAAGACCATTTTACTGTATATAAAAACTGAAAAGAGAGAAACATAAAAATCAATCCCAATTACACTAGTTAAGATCTTACAATTTTCCCCCTTATAAGTATTTCTGCATATTTACACAAGTTTGCTCAAAATGATCCTGAAGGAAGAGGCTCTGTAACTATATTTGCATTACTGTTTTAAGACTTTATACTGCATGCTTATTAATTTAAAAAATTCATTTGGATACAAAATAGCCATTTAAGTGTGCTTATAGAATTACAACATAATTGGTTCATGGAACAAGTATTTACTTGCAACCAACATATTTAGTTCTAAATTAAGTTCTAAGAAATCAAAAGGAAGATGAAAGAGATTTCAAGTTCTTTTCCCTACTTTCGGAGGTACCTGATAATTCCAATTCCTAAGTTGTTCCTGGGTTCTGCAGAGTGAAATGTCATGCTCATGATTACATAAAACTTACTATTTTTAAAAAGGTAAGGATAAATGAATATTTAGGAACTCTATTAGTATAATTGTGCATATTAAGTCAAAAGAGAAAACTATAAGATTATTTAAATGGTTGCTGAAAGATATTTGATAAAATAGTTATTTCTGATTTCAGATATTGTTAGTAAGCTAGGAATAAAGGATGCTTCTTTAACTTATTCCCTTGATGGGCTTTTATATATAGTACCTGTCAGGTTGGCAGGGTCTTACTTCTCAATCTGGTCTTGTCTGAAATTTATATTGTAGAAATTCTGCTAATGCTTTTCTAGCATGAGGATGGTTATCTTCCCCACCCTAGAGTGCATATATCAATTCTCTTTTCTTTTTTTCTCTTTTTAATGCCTCCTTGGCTACTTCCCTAATTCCCTTTGGAATTTTAAGGACAAAGTCAAATTCCTATTCTTGCATTGGAAGGGCCAAGCCTAAATCTTAAACTAAATTGATCTCAATCCTGGTTCTGCCACATACTAGCCATGTGATCTTGAGCCTCATGATCTTGAAATTAAATCACTTAATTTCTCTAGCCCAATTTCCTTATCCATAAAAATAGGTATAGCAATAGCTTCTATCTAATAAGACTGTTGGAAAGATTTTACGAGTGATAACATAGGAAAAGCACTTATCATTACTTAGCTACCGATGTTACTACTAATGTTGCTTCTAATAATAATAACAAATATTGCTATAATAATAATAAGCTCCCTCCTACATGCAAAAGGCTTACATATTTGGGTTAAAATTCTAATTTTTAAGAAACTTTTACATTCTAGGGAGATTTTGCTTAAACCAAATTATAAATGTCTCACTTCTCAATACAGAATCATATTTCTGGGCTGGGGATTTAGCTCAGTGGTTTCACTGCCTGCTGTGCAAGTGAAAGGACCTGAGTCCGATCCCCGGTACAAAAAAAAAAAAAAATCATATTTCTTACATGATCTGTAAGTATTGACTTTATAATGAATCATACATTACAATTTATTATACCTTTACTATATTCTCAACACTTTTCTGGGTGCTGAATTAGCTATAGTATAACATCAAACAAAAATGGGAAGATACCTGACCTGAAGAAGTAAAAGCTTTTTTTAAAAATGGAGATATAAAACCCCCAAAGATAAGAATATGTCTCTGTTGAAATATGCTCTTCCCCCCTCAGCCCCCGTTTTGAGATAGAGTCACTTGATGTAGTCCAGACTGGCCTTAAACTTACTGTGTAGCCTAGGCTGGCCTTGAACTCACAGTGATCCTCCTGCCTCAGTTTCCCAAGGGCTGGGATTACAGGTGTTCACCACCATGCCTGGCTGAAATATGTCCCTTTGTCCAAGTATTGTTTGAAGAAAAACTGGGGTTAAGATTTCTGGGAAGAAAAACACACCTATACATAGCAAGAACCATTTCTAAACAACAATTATAGTAATAAAATGTTGTAATCGCCATGGAATGTATGGGTCAAGAACTCATGTACTAAGAGTGCTAAAATCTAACTTGTGTAGTTACCTAACAAACTGCAGGCAGAAATGTTAAGAAATAATTCCATAGTCTCAACTCCTCTTGATATGGTTAAATGCCCTTTATTCTATTTCTGACATAAGTTATATGTTTTTAAGAAACAGAAAACATTTATTGACTTTTGCTACTGTTCTAAGTTCATATATTGCTGATGTACTTAAGGAAACTAGGAATTTTGAAAATATATTATCACTTCCTCCTTGGGAAAATACAAAATGACAGATGATACCAATAGGCTTCCATAGTGGCAGAGGTTTTCAAGCCTCTGTAGGGGCTAGGGCCGAGGCCACAGGGCTTGAGTAGCAAGGGAGAGGACAAGGAGTGGATCTCTGTCACCAAGCTGGACTAGTTGGTCAAGGACATGAAGAAGGAATCCTTGGAGGAGAATTGTCTCTCTCTCTTCCCATCAATGAGTCTGAGATCATTGCTTTTTCCTGGGGGAATCACTCAAAAATGAAGTTTTGAGATTACACTGGTGCAGAAGCAAATTGGCGCAGGTCAACAGACCAGGTCCAAGGCATTGTTGCCTTCAAGGACTAAAATAGTCATGTTGGTCTGGGTGTTAAATGCTCCGAAGAGGTAGTCAGTGCCACCAAGGGGCCATCATCCTGGCCAAACTCTGCACAGTCCTTGTGCAGAGAGGCTACTGGGGGAACAAGATCTGCAAGCCCCACACCTTTGCAAGATGATAGGCTGCAGTGGTCTATCAATCACCCCTGCTCTCATCCCTGCCCTGTCTCCCTCCCTCTCTTTCCCTCCTTCCCTCTCTTTCTCTCTCCCTCCCTCCTTTCCTCTTTCTCCCTCCCTCCCTTTTCATTTTCATTCTTTGCCACCCCCACCCACACTTTGTGGTGTCAGGGATGAAATCCAGAGTCTCATGCATTCTAGTCAAGTAAGTGCTCTACAACTGAGCTACATCCTCAGACCTAAAAAACATTTCAACATGCAACAAAGCACTGGTAAACAAAATTCAGAAGGCATCAAAGATATTTAAGTCCTCCTCCCATTCCTGACCTCCCACCTTCTAGTTCTCCACAACCCTCAGAAGTAATCACCATGCCAGTTTTCTTAACTACCTTCCAAAGATAGTCTATGTATATACAAGAATTATATATGGAGATGTTTTTTTCTCTAAAATATATAAATGAAAGCAACTGTAGCTATTTTTCTCTCCTTGCCTTAACTTATCTTCATTTCACTATTTTTTAAAAAAATTAATTGTAGTAAAATAAAATTTACCAATCATTTTTAAAGTGTATAATTTAGTAGGCTATGTACTACCAGTATTCACAGCTTTTTCATCTCACAAAATTGAAACTGAAACTCTAGGCTCTATAACTTATAACTCATTACTATAAAATCATAAATAACTTATTACTCCCTTAAACCTGGCAACCATCATTCACTTTTTTTGGGGGGGGGTGCAGTACTGGT